CTGCCAGTATTATAGTATTATACCCACTGACTGACCCCCCCGGCCCTGCCAGTATTATAGTATTATACCGACTGACTGACCCCTCTGGCCCTGCCAGTATTATAGTATTATACCCACTGACTGACTCCTCTGGCCCTGCCAGTATTATAGTATTATACCCACTGACTGACCCCTCTAGCACTGCCAGTATTATAGTATTATACCCACTGACTGACCCCTCTGGCACTGCCAGTATTATAGTATTATACCCACTGACTGACCCCTCTGGCCCTGCCAGTATTATAGTATTATACCCACTGACTGACCCCTCTGGCACTGCCAGTATTATAGTATTATACCCACTGACTGACCCCTGTGGCACTGCCAGTATTATAGTATTATACCCACTGACTGCCCTCTGGCACTGCCAGTATTATAGTATTATACCCACTGACTGCCCTCTGGCACTGCCAGTATTATAGTATTATACCCACTGACTGCCCTCTGCCACTGCCAGTATTATAGTATTATACCCACTGACTGCCCTCTGCCACTGCCAGTATTATAGTATTATACCCACTGACTGCCCTCTGGCACTGCCAGTATTATAGTATTATACCCACTGACTGACCTCTGGCATTGCCAGTATTATAGTATTATATCCACTGACTGACCCCCCCGGCACTGCCAGTATTATAGTATTATACCCACTGACTGACCTCTGGCACTGCCAGTATTATAGTATTAGACCCACTGACTGCCCTCTGGCACTGCCAGTATTATAGTATTATACCCACTGACTGACTTCTGGCACTGCCAGTATTATAGTATTATACCCACTGACTGACCCCCCCGGCACTGCCAGTATTATAGTATTATACCCACTGACTGACCTCTGGCACTGCCAGTATTATAGTATTATACCCACTGACTGACCTCTGGCACTGCCAGTATTATAGTATTATACCCACTGACTGCCCTCTGACACTGCCAGTATTATAGTATTATACCCACTGACTGACCCCCCGGCACTGCCAGTATTATAGTATTATACCCACTGACTGACCTCTGGCACTGCCAGTATTATAGTATTATACCCACTGACTGCCCTCTGACACTGCCAGTATTATAGTATTATACCCACTGACTGACCTCTGGCACTGCCAGTATTATAGTATTTGTAACGGACCGTTTTGCACACAAGGGGTAAAAACCGTTTAGGCGATCGGCCCCCTTTCCAGAGATACAGGCACAGCTACTGCAGAACATCAAACTCCCAAACTGGATACAAAATAGCACTCCAACTCCCGAACTGGAACCTCCTGTAACGGACCGTTTTGCACACAAGGGGTAAAAACCGTTTAGGCGATCGGCCCCCTTTCCAGAGATCCAGGCACAGCTACTGCAGAACACCAAAACTCACGAACTGGATACAAAATAGCGCTCCAACTCCCGAACTGGAACCTCCCAAATAGCTGCTAGCAGACGAACAGGAAAAGCTCCCAAGCAGCTTACACTCCTGGCAATCAGTCTCTAACAGCATACAGTGAATCCCCCCAAGAACGAGACAAGGCTCCGTGTTGAGGGTCAAGCAGTGGTCTGAGATGCTGGCACACCCAGCCTGGTTTTTATTACAGTGTTTCAAATACAGGACCACCCACAGGGAGGGATAAAACAACCAATCATATCACAGTTACATCCCACATATTCCCTCCCCTTATCCTGAGAGGAAACTCAATTATACAAACAGTTAAACCATACTTTCTACCCAACTTTCATAACTCCAAAACCATACATCACATTCACATAAAATTACATATTCTCAATCAATCCATTCAGGGGAACAACATATTCAAAAATGGCACAAATCAGACAAGGGGTTAAAAAGTTAGTAAAAAGTCCTTTGTGACTAAATGAAGCATGGCTTT